GGTTCCCGGTGGCCGCCAGCGGCCGGGGGTGCCTGCCCCGGGGTAAGTCTTCTACCTCGGGCCGGAGGGGGGCGGTCTCCTTACCCCGGAGGAGAACCAAAGGCTGGGGGGGGCGTTGGGGGCGGGGAGGAAATGCGCCCCGCCAGGTGCAAAGGTGCCCCTTCGTTACCTGCGCTCCTTCTCCTCCTCTTTCTTCTTTTTTCCTCTTCTCCCTTTCCTTATTATCAACGTGTGTGTGTGTGTGTTCCTGAGCACACACAGACACACACACACAATTGGGGGCGCTCGGCCCCCTTTCAAGGCTGGCGAGGACCTTGATTAGGAGAAAGGGGAAGATGGCGGCTTTAAAAAGCCAGCGACGTCCCCCTTCGGCCTTTCAAAAAAATAAAAAAAAAGACGATGGAAGTCGTGGTGGCCGGCCTCGGAGTGCCACAGGACTCTTCGGCGCTGCTGGAAGCAACACCGGTCTCCTCGTTCTGGCCCCGGGCTTCGTTCAGGGCTGAGCGTGTGGGGCAGAGGGGCGTCTGTGGTTGGGGGGGGTGTGCCACTGACTGGAGAGCATGACCTTTGTCCTGTCACTCCCTGAAGGGGTCTCCTAGACCCCCCCCCGCCATTCATTCTTCTTCTTCCTTTTAAAGTGTGTGTGTGTGTGGGGGGGGAGAGTGTTTGAAAATCAGGACTCCTCCCCTCTCCCTCCAAACAAATAATTTGATAATGTCATAGATCAGACTTAGCTGGCTTTATATTCCGACCCCTTTGGTTTCCTGCCTCTCCCCCCTTTAGCCCCACTTCTGGTTACAGAGCTCTGATTATTACCCAGCGGGACACCCATTAAAGGTATAAAACTATAAGGAACAAGCTTGGGGGGGGGCAGAGAGGGATGGTGGCGTTCCCTCCATGCCTCTCCTGAAAGGTTTTATTTAGGGTGTCGGGAAATGAATGGACTGTCTTTTGCCACCTTTTTTTTGGTGGGGGGGGAGAGACAACACTAAAAAGAATTATTTCATTGGGCCTGGTTACGCTGCTGCTTCGGTTCCAGGCGGGGTCTGTGGCCTCTGCTCCTCTCTTTGTTACGACAACCCTGTGAGGTTGGCCAGGGTGAGAAAGTGTGACAGGTGGCCCATTGGGTTTCGTGGCTGAGTAGGGATTTGAACTCGGATCCCTTCCATCACTTAACGACTGAACAACAACCCTTCCATCACTACAGCCATTTTTTACTCTCTGTACTCTGTTTTTAGCATAAATGTATATTTGTTTGACTCTAGCCTTACCCAGCAGCCCTTGAAGTGACCCATATCAGGTACCCCTACCTGAAAGGGAACAGTTCAAAGTCTCCCAGCAGTTACCGAAAAATGCAGATTATAGCAAGTACTATTACAACAGTGGACATTCTACACCGCATGGTCTTCAGCTCTTTCTAGTGGCCTGTTCTGGTCATTTCATCATTAGAAATACATATTTTGTGATTTTCTTTTATTTTCATATTTTCAGACTGTGGATAAGTGAATCAGCGGATACTGATCCTGGGGATTAGTGGGGGTGGGCGTGACCTCCTGTCGTTAAATCCAGTGTGGTGGACTGCGATCTGTATCTGTTTTGTTGTCTGGGTGAAGTGACTCACCCATAAAAGACTCTGCTTATGTTTAGAAACCCTTTGCCCCCCAGGGGGAAAAACGCCAAGATAGGTTCCGGGAGTCCAATCAAATTACACCCTTCAAGGGGTGTTTTTCTTCTCTTTCGCTCTGCCTCTTGGAGAGGGCAGGACAAAGAGAGAGAAGTGGGGGGAACAGGCTTCTGGAGTCTTGCCTCCAGAAAGAGGAAACTCCCACGGAAACAGCCGGCAGAAATATATTGTTTCGCCCAGCCTTAAAAATAGCACCCAGCAACTTGACTCCTCCTCACTGTCCGCTCTGGGAAATCTTGGCTCTCGGTCGGACCTTGGCCCTGGGATCGCGGAAGCTGTTGTGCGCTTGCAACCTTTAGCCCGTGGCTTCGTGCTTTGGAGGCGGGGTGAAAGCGATGTCTGCAGCCCTTAAGCACTCTTGGGAGGGAGAAAATTCCACCGCCTTGCGCTTCTCTGTACCTCCTTGTGCATACCGTACCTGTAGCAAAAATATTTAGGAAGCCATGGGGTTGGGTTTTTTCGATACCACCCGGGCCGTTGCCTCCCCGCTGTTGGGTTTCTGTTTAGCTGTCGGTTCCCATAACAATCCCGCGATGTTGTCCTGGGTGTTCTGACTCACGGATGCCGGATTGGCAGTGGTGGAAAAGAGGAAGGAGAGAAGAAAAGGATTACGAAGCCGACGGGGTAAATAGGGGCAGGCAAAATGAGCCATTCCTATCAACTGTCCAATTCGGAGCAGTTAGCGAGCAGCCAAATATTTGCAGGGTTTGGAAGCGTTATTATGTACTACAAAACCCCAAATCCCCCTGGCGGCATGAGAATTGTAGTCCAAAAAGTGGTCTCTCCCTTCCCCCCCCCAGCCCAGGTTCAGATATTCCACAGCCAGGTTGGACGCCAGAAAACTGTCAGCAGGTCCCTGATCTCTCTGTCTCTCTCTTTCCTTCCTTCCTTCCTTCCTTCCTTCCTTCCTTCCTTCCCTCCCTGTTGCCATCTCTCTTAACTGGCTTTTCCTTCCAGAAGGTCAGTGATGGCGGACTTTGCCCGCAAGGAGGGGAAGAGTCGGGACGACCGCGGCTTGGGCAGTGTGGTGGACTTCCTCCTGGCCAACGCTCGGGTGGTCCTTGGGGTCAGCGGGGCAGCGGTGTTGGCGATCGCCACTCTGGCCGTGAAGCGGGTAAGGCAGGGCGGTTCTCCCTTGAAGCCCCTGAGCTTTTAAATGGGTCAGCAGAGTGTCCAGTGGGAGGGGACCCTTATCCATCCGTCCATCCGTGGTCTTGTAGTCAGACTTTATTTTTATCCCATTTAATTTCTGCCCCACTTTTTCCTCCGGTGAGCTCCAGAGTGACATAACATGGCTATCCACCTTCCCCATTTCCATTTTAAAAAAATTAAAAAAAACAACAACCCTGGGAGGTAGGCCAGCCTAAGACAGTATCGTGGCACCAAGGAAACCAGGTTTTGTGGATTTGAGCCCAGGTCTCCCATGTCTTAGCCTGACCCTCTTATTTATGCCATTTGAGAACAAAAGTATGAGAAAAGTTGGGGTTTTTTTCTTTTTCCTGTTCCTCTGTTATGCAATGGTTCCCGCTCGGTTTATTTTTATCCCTTTCAGGATGCATTGTGGGCACTGGTGGTCGTCCAGCATGTTACGCTGTCCCAGAATGCCATGATTAAAAAAACCCAGCTGTGCCCAGAGAACTGACCAGAATAGCTTTCTCTTTAGACTGTTTTTTTCCTCGGTGACTGGCCGTCTGAGAAGGTTTTTTTTCCAAATTGGATTGTTTAATTTTTTATTTAATTTATATGCTGGCCGCACTACCCAAAGGTGCTCTGTGGCTTCTAAACCAATTCTAGTTTAAATTCACCTTTTTAACAGGATACAGTGGTGCCTCACAGAACGGTCGCTCCGTAGAGCAACGAATCCGCGCAACGGTGCCGTTTTTGCGATCGCAAAAGTGATCGCAAAATGGCACCTAGATAGGGCAGGAATCACAGAGCGAAGGTCAGTAAGCGGTTCGCTTACCGGCCTTCGCTTTGCGACCCACCGATCAGCTGT